CGTGACAGGGGTGCTGACAGTGTCAACCACCCCAGCGGGCCACACACTGGCTTGGAATCTGGCTTCCGGCGACGTGCCAGCGTACAGGTGGGTGCTCATCTCGGCACACCGGGCCTGCCTGCGCCAAGACACCACAGTGGTGATCCCCCAGGCTCTCGGCTGGTCGCCAGCTGCACACGCTGTCGCGAGGTCGCGTGGGAGCGGTATCGACCCTTTCCCGTGTTCGCCGCTGCAGCGGCAGGCAGTGCCACCCCCTCCTGCGTGTCGCCCTGATCCACATGGTACGTCTCATGGCGCTACGAGGGTTTGGCTTTGCGTCAGGTGGAGACTGGCGTGCATCTTACCCGCTTCCAGTGCTACCTGATGAGGGGCCTGGCAAGGGCGTGTCCCTGCACGAGTGGTGCATCCTTCGGCAGGACATGGCTGTTCCCCCAGCTGGCCCATCTTGCAGGTGCCTCGGTCAGCGCTTGCAACTTTGTGCCCCCGATCTTCCAGTGTCGGATAAGTTGCGTACGCACTGGCCACAGGCTGGAAGTGACGTTATCGCATGTTCGCTGACTGAGTCTTCGTCGCTCCCGCGTCCGACAGCGGGCAGACCCGACGTCTGCGTCAGTGAGTCACCGTGAGTGAGGCCCCCTCTGTGCCGCCGTCCCCCTTTTTCCTGTCGTTGGGTGCCCGTCTGGCGTCCGCAGCGACTCTCCCGCTTTCTCTTGCCTCGCTTCCGTGTGTCTAGGCCGGAGTTCGGTACCGACAAGGCCGCTTCGTGCTCTACAGTACGGTCCGTGCCCCGTGCCTTTTCCTGTTGTGTGGTTCGGCTGGAGTTTGGCGCCGTAAGGGCGACTTCTCCTATCCGTCCGCCGCCGGTGCCGCGCTTGCGTCCCCATCCGCTGGGATGTTTGCGACGGTCCCACACAATGAGGGTCACTTTGTCCCTGGCATGTGCACTCGCTTCAGCGGCCTACGTGCCGCTGCAGCCAATTATCTCGCTCTGTGCCCCAGTCGTTAATCCCGCTCCCTGGATCTGTCCTTTGAGCCGTCCGACCAAAAAAGTATCCCCGCCAGCCCGTCCAGAAATGAGTCCCAGGGGAGTGGAGGTGATGAGGGAAGCGGGGGAGCATGCAGAAGAACAAAGGGCGGGGTAAGCCGCCATATGCCCCAAGAGGGGGAGGATGTAGGAGTCGTCGTCGTCGTCGGAGTAGGAGGAGGAAGAGGAGGAGCAGGAGGAGGAGCAGGAGGAGGAAGGGGAGGAGGAGGAGGAGGAGGAGGAGGAGGAGGAGGAGGAGGGAGGAGGAGGAGGAGGAATATGAGGAGGTGAGGAGAGATGGAGGAGGGCGAGAACGTGGAGGACGAGAAGGAGGAGAAGGAAAATTATGATGACGATGGTGATCATGATGATGATGATGATGATGATTGATGATGATGATGATGATGATGATGATGATGATGATGATGATGTTGTTGTGATGATGATGATGATTCTGATGATGATGATGATGATGATGACGATGATGATGATGATGATGATGATGATGATGATGATGATGATGATGATGATGATGATGAGGAGGAGGAGGAGGAGGAGGAGGAGGAAGAGGAGGAGGAGGACAATGGCGAGCTTGGGGGCCTCTTGGGCCGTCTTTGGGGCCTCTTGGCGGTACTGGGGGCCTCTTGCGTATCTCGGGGAGCTTGTTGGGGCCTCTTGGGGGTCTCTTGGGAGCCTCTTGGAGGCCTCTTGGGCGCCTCTTGGGGCCTCTTGGGGCCCTCTTGGGGCGCTCTTGGGGCGCTCTTGGGGCCATGTTGGGAGAATTAGCGTTGCCCCTGTAGAGTGCCTCTCGGGCCCCAAAAGAGGCCAACATCCTTCAACACCTAGGGGAATCAATGTTTTTTTGCTTTCCCGCCTTTTCGCTCTTGGAGCCGTCTTGGACGCCCCAGCGACCCGCAGACCCCCCCGTGGGGGTAGGGGGAGGGGTCAAGTTACCCCCTCCCCGCCCGCAAGCCGTCTCGCTCACTCCCACCCGCCCTCCCAACACATACGTAGCACCCGAGTCTGGCCCGAGCCTGAGCATATTCAGCAGTCGTCTTTGGATGGGCAGCTACTGGGGGCCAATCCGCCGCCGCCGCCGCCGCCGCCCTCCGCCGCCGCCGCCGCCGCCGCCGCCGCCCGCCCCCGCCGCCGCCGCCCGCCGCCGCCGCCGCCGCCGCCGCCCGCCGCCGCCGCCGCCGCCGCGCCGCTGCCGCCACCGCCGCAGCCGCCGCCGACGCCGCCGCCGCCGCCGCCGCCGCAGCCGCCGCAGCCGCCGCCACCGCCGCCGCAGCCGCCGCCGCCGCCAAGTGTACTCTGTATTGTTTTTTGACAGGGATGGTGGGGGGGGCCGCATGGGGTTGGCTGCGCATGCTCCGAATTTGGAGGCAGAGTGTGTTTTATATTCTTTTTTACAAGGGATGGTGTGGGGGGGGTTGGCATGGACCCTGGTTGGCCCCCAGTCGCCTGGGGGAGGGGGTGTTAATTAATAGGGAACAGTGATAAACCCCTCCCCGAGGGGGAAAAAGGGGGTTGGAAGAGGAAACTCTCTACACCACCGACGCCCAGAGGACTGGTGGGATATGGGGCATCATTTTATTTATGCGTATTTATTTTTGTGTCCTTGGGCCGCTTGAGTGCTGGCCGCGATATCCTTGCCTGTCGCATAACAGTGTCTTGCCTTTTCGGACGCTCCGGCCCTGCCCCGCTGAGTCCCTTCGCGTGGACTCCGCTGCGGGCACCGTTCGGTCAAGTATCCTGTCTGAACTGGCGCGTTTTTTTTCCGGAGCAGCTCCATCTGTTCCCTGCTATTCTTCATATTCCCAATCCTAGCGTTCTTTCTCTGAGACTATCACCACCACCACTACCACTACCACTACCGCTACCACCACCACTACGTTCTACCACTACCACCACCACGACCACTACCAGTACCACTATCACTACCACTGCCACTGCAACTACCAGTGCAACTACCACTACCACTACCACTACCACTTCCACTACCACTACCACTGCCACTACCACTGCCACTGCCACTAGAACTACCACTACCACTACCGCTACTGCCTCTACTACTACTACTACTACTACTACTACTACTACTACTACTACTACTACTACTACTACTACTACTCCTACTCCTACTCCTACTCCTCCTACTACTACTACTACTACTACTACTACTACTACTACTACTACTACTACTACCACTACCACTACCACTACCACTACCACTACCACTACCACCACCACCACCACCATTGCCACCGCCACTGCCACTATCACTGCCACTACCGCTACTGTTACTACCACCACTACCACTGCCACTACTACTACTCCTATTGTTATTGCCACTACCACTATCACTATCACACCCACTATTACTACCACTGCCGCTGCCAGTAGGAGTAGTAGTCGTAGTCGTAGTCGTAGGCGTTGTTCTAGTCGCAGTTGTTTGCGTTGTCGTAGTCGTAGCCGTAGTCGCGCCGCCGAATGTTCCTATGGCAAGCTCCCATGAAACGCGCTCTCTCGTAGGGTGTGTATGTATATATGCATGCATGTATGTGTGCATGCACGCATGCATGCATGCATTCATGTATGCATGTACGCATGCATGCATGCATGTATGTATGTATGTGTGTAAACATTCATGCATGTATGTTTGCAATGTAATGTAATGTAACGTAGTGTACTGTACTGTACTGTAAGGTAATGTAATGGAGTGTAATGTAGTGTAGTGTAGTGTAGGGTAATGTAATGTAATGTAATGTAATGTAATGTAATGTGATGTGATGTGATGTGATGTAATGTAATGTAATGTGATACAATGTAATGTAATGTACTGTAATGCAATGTGATGTGATGTGGTGTACTGTAATGTATGTGGATGTAATGTAATGTATTGTATGGTATTGAATTGTAATGTAATATACTAGAGATGTGCGTGTATGGCTGTCTGTCTGTCTGTCTGTCTGTCTGTCTGTCTGTGTGTCTGTCTGTCTGTCTTTCTGTATGTAGTAATGTATGTATGTGTGTGTACGTTGGTGGGTATGTAGGTAGGTAGGTAGGCTTGTATGCATGCATGTATGTATGTATGCATGTATGTCTATATACATGTATGTATGTAAGTAAGCATGCATATTTACTTATATATATACATATATATATATATATATATATATATATATAGATGACTGTGTGCATATGTGTGTATATGAATTCATTCAGGTAAATTCGGATTACGCCTTGTGGGTTTGTAGGGGCCCCCGGTTCCCAGAGCCGCCAGAGAGCCCAGAAATTGCACTGGACGGCCCCCGGAAGGCCCCGAAACGGCACCGGATCTCCCCAGAAGAGCCCTGAGACGGCCCAGGGAGGCCAAGAGACGACCAAAGACAGCCCGAGATGACTCAAGACGGCCTCACACGGCCCAGGATGCTCCCAGGCCGCCAAGACGCCCCGGGACGGCTCCGAGGGGACACCCTAGAGGGCCCCATGAGGCCGAACTCGTAGATTTTCTGTCGGTTTCCCACGGTTTCTGAAATTCCCGCGCTCTCGATCTTCTGGACCTCCAGGACTCCAGGACGGCCCAATAAGCCTCTAGGATCGCCCCGATACGGCCCAGGAGGCGCCCAAGAGAGCCCCAAGACAGCCTCCGTAGCCATTTTGCTCAAGCCGTTTGTGGCTCAGCATTTGGGCGAAGCAGGTCATTGCCATTAGAAAGTCTAGGTTCGCTAGGGACTGGTTTCCTTCCAAAAACAGCCGAAACCCTCCCGAAACCCTCCGAAAACCCTCCTGGAAGGGTTCCTGGAGGCCTTTCGACGGGCTTCGGAAGGGTTTTGGCCGTTTGGGGGGGAAACCAGTCCCTAGCGAACCCTGGGCTTTCTAACATTACCATCCAGAGGGAGCCTAGCGGCGACCAGTTGGGGCGAAGCATTCTGCGCAACACTGTAGGATCCCCACTCCAGGCAACGCAGGGATGGCGAGTTTGGCGGGCGACGTTCTCCCGCCCGTCAGCGAGCAGCGACCAAGGCCAGCGTTGGCGTGGGCGGAGGCATCCAGCGTGGCGCCCGCACCGAGGCAGCCCTCGACTCCCAGGATGGCCCGCGGGCGCCCCTTCGGAGTGGGCCACAACTGGGCCGTGCCGGGCCCCGGCGGCCTCGGTCCCAACCGGATCCGCAGGCCTCGTGCCGTCCGACCTCCTCAGATTTCGGCACCTGTGACTCTCGAAGACCTTGCGTACATGAGGAGGCTCGACACGTTGATCCCCGAGCCTCGCATGGGCAGCCGCACGTCACGCCGGCTCGTGGCCGGTGCCTTCGCGGCGCCCGAGTTGTTGCCGGAAGTGGAGCTGGCCAGCGGCGGGGTAGCAGGCAACCAGACGAGCGACATCGAGTCCACCTCCGTCCTCTCCGTTGAGTCTCCGATGCTTCCCAACACCTGCCTTGGGCTCCACGGGACCAGTGTGATGGCCGGTGAGGCCGAGCGGCCCCCCTGCACCTTGCTTCGGCACACTCGTCTCAGCGGCAATCCGTGCCGACGAGAGGAGGACTGCAAGGAGGATCTGCCGAGTCCTGGCCAGAGCATCTCCCGCAGGCCGCCCGTCTTCGACAAGCCTGAGAGGATCCCGTGCTCCCCGGGCTCCAGCCAGTTCGGCCGCGAGCTGGGTGGGCCTACGCACTCTGTAGAGGGGGCGCCCGGCCAGGCTCGCCCCCGCCACGCCACGAGGTCGCTGTCGGCGAGGGGGGGAAGGCGCCTGGCATCCAGCAGTTGAGTTTTTTTTTTTGACCCGCGCAGAAGGGGCCCGGACGGAGACACGACACGGCGACGGGCGCCGGCGGAGACGGGACGATCGAACAATTTTCCAGGGAGGGGCGGGGTGGGGGGAGGGCAAGCGTTCGGCGCCCGCACCCGGCGCGGCCCCCGTGCCAAGCTTGAGAGGATCCCGTGCTCCCCGGGCCCCAGCCGGTTCGGCCGCGAGCCCGGTGATCTTGCGCACCCCGCAGAGGGGGCGCCCGGCCAGGCTCGGCCGAATGGCGATGGGGGGATCAGGACATGGGGGGGTGAGTATGCGGTACCGTTTTGTTGGGGTACAATTTGTACCTTCTCTGCGGGTTGCAAGTACAAATTGTACCTTCTCCCCCCCCGTTAACATCCTCGCACATGTCGCGAACGTTGTCAAAAGTACAGTGTGTACCTTGTCTGCGTGGCGTCGGTACAAATCGTACCTTCTCCGTGGGGCGTAGGTACAGGTTGTACCTCGGCTGCGCCTCTCTCCCCATCTGGTCTTATCCCCCCGTTTGCATCCCGCCAACAGGCTCGCCCCCGCCACGCCACGAGGTCGCTGTCGGCGAGGGGGGGGAAGGCGCCTGGCCTCCATCCAGCATGTAAGGCTTGGCCTCCAGCAGTTGAGTTTTTTCTGTGAGACTGGCGCAGATGGGGCCGGACGAAGAAGCGACACGGCGACGTGCGACGGACGAGAACGAGACGATCGGCGGCGGCGCAGGGAGGGAAGGGCGGGTGTGGGGCGGGGTGGGGGGGAGGCAAGCGTTCGGCGCCCACACCCGGCGCGGCCCCCGTGCGCCCCGGGAGCGCCGCGGCGGCCTGCTCCTCCTCCTTTTCCCCCTGCCCGTTGCTTCCTATTTGTTGGTTTCACCCCTAAGGCACAAGGTTTCGGCGCTATTGGGGGTTAGCCAACTCTTTGTACACGTGTGCCCTTGGTGTGGGCGATTTGCCCCGCGCTTTGCTGAGCGCCGCAGATATGTTCTGCCTTCTGGGCCGTCAACACTCCTCCTCCTCCTCCCCCTCCTCCTCCTCCTCCTCCTCCCCCTCCTCCTCCTCCTCCTCCTCCTCCTCTTCCTCCTCCTCCTCCTCCTCTTCCTCCTCCTCCAGCCAGCACGTCTGCACCGAATCCGCAGCCGGGCGACGCCAAGGCCCGCCGTCAGGTCGGAGGGGCAGCTGAGGCTTGGCTTCAGGCGCGTTCGGCACCTTCTCTCGATTTTGCCGCCTCTGGCGGCGTCGCGCGTCTCGTGCGGGGGGCCAGGCTGGGGGTCGGTGCTCGTGAAGCGCGGGGATGCGCGGGGGTGCTCGTCAGGCGAGTTGCCCTACTCATGGTTTTCGGGAAGCCGTCGTATGGCGCGCGGAGCACGCCTGTATTGCACGCTTGCCGGCACTTGGAGGTGTGTTCTTACAGCCGGTTTTTTTTGACGGGAATATCGTCGCGAGGTGCACAGATTCGTGCAAATTAGATGTGGTTTACCCATGTCTTGGATTGCCCCACTACGGTTTTTTGTTTGCTCATCGTTCTCCGCAGCTACGTCGCGTGAAGCTGGCTCGCGGAGGACTTTCCCGTGCTGGTCGTCCTCGCGCGTGCCCGAAGGCCCCGACGCACGGCAGGGAGGGAGCCTTTTTTTATATTTTAGCTGGCTATGGCCGGAGCACACGCGACGCTGGGCTTCCCCAGCGCCGCCCGTTTCCCGAGCGGTCTTGCTGCGAAGGAAGCACTGGATGACGAGTGCCTTCCCCAAGGGCCAGGTCACCAAGGGTACATCTGGACCTCAGGTCCAGATGTACCCTTGGACTTGCCAGGGAGGCATGGATGGCCCGCGGGATGCTTACTGAGGTGGCGAGCTGTGGAGCGCGTTTTAGGCGGAGTGCGCGCATCACGTCCCAGTGGCCGAGGTGATGGAGGAGGAGGAGGAGGAGGGGGAGGAGGAGGAAAGAGGGCATTGCAGTGTTGCGTATCGCAGCAGCCCGTGAATGATGTCACGCTCTCAGGAGGGACTTTCTTTGGGCGTCATCGTCATCACCGCTTGCAGCAGCTTTGTCGTCGTTCTTCACGACGGTCGAATTCGATCCTAGCTCAATTAGCCCGTTTGAAGTGCACTCTCGCCGCCACTTGGAGGTCTAATCTTATGGCGTCATCATCAACATCGCCAGCGGCAGCTTTCCTACATTTGGTCGTTCTGCTTGCGCAAACTTTGCGGCAACAGAACTCACATTTTGAAGCGCACTAGCCCGTTTCGAGTTCGATCATAGTTTTATCAACCCGCGTGAGGGTCACGGTCGCTGGCACCCCGCCAACTGATTAGGATCTCACTTCCCACAGGCGTGTTAGCTGTGGCAGGGAGGGCGTCGAGCTCAAAGAGAGAGAGAGAGAGAGAGAGAGAGAGAGAGAGAGAGAGAAAAAAAGAGAGAAAGAGAGAGAGAGAGCCCCAAGACAGCCCAGGAGGGGCCAAGAGGGGTCCAAGAGGCCCCCAAGACGGCACAGTAGACATCCGGGAGGCCCCCAGGACGACCCCACAAGCCCCCAAGAGGCCCCCAAGACAGGCCAAGGGGGGCCCCGAGTCTGCCCGCGAGGGCCTCAAGATGGCCGAAGATGCTGTCAAGACGGCCCCAGAGGGCCCAAGACGTCCCAAAGGAGCCCCAGGAGGACCCCCAAGAAGACCCGAAGACGCGAAAATCGTAGACTTCACGTTGGTTGTCGATCGCACACCGCAGCTTGTTGGTACTGCTAAGGCCTTACGGCCAGTGCCGCCGACACTGGAGGCCTCGGCCCTCGACGGATATCGGAGGGAGAGGGCGGGCCATGGGCCCGGGGAGGGTGGTATTCTGACCCGGGACCCCCCCTGGGACCCCCTTCCGGGACCCCCCTTCGAGTGAACACCGACGTTGTTCAGATTGGCTTCCCCTCCGCGTCGCGGCCGCCCCCCTCCCCCGAAGGGAACCGACGTTGTTCAGATTGGCTTCCCCTCCGCGTCGCGGCCGCCCCCCTCCCCCGAAGGGAACCGCCCGGGTGCCCCCCCCCCCCCCCCCCCTCGGGTATCTCCTGTTGGGACCCCCCCCCTCCCCCCCCCCTCGGGGGGAAGGGATACAAGAGAAGGGGCTTCCCTTCGAGTAAGCTGCGGCGTTGCTCAGATTGGCTTCCCCTCTGTGTCGCGGCCGCTCATCTCCGCGTCGCGACCTTTCCCCTCCCCCGAAGGGAGCCGCCTGGGTGCCCCCCCCCCCGCGTATCCGGGTGTGACCACCCCAAACCCTCCCCTCCCCCCCCCCTCAGGGGGAAGGGATAAAAGGGAAACGGCTGATTGGCTTCCCCCCCCGTGCCGGGGGGAGCAGATTGGCTTCCCCCCGGGTCGCGGCCGCTCCCCTCCGCGTCGCGGCGGGCCGCCCCCTCCCCCAAGGGAGCCGCCGGGTGCCCCCCCACCCCTGGGTATCCAGGTGGACCCCCCCTCGCCCCTCCCCCCCCCCCTCGGGGGGGATCTCTCTCTCTATATATATATATATATACACATGATTTGTCTGTGGATACAGCCATACATGCAGTCGATGGGGATCTCATGAATCGGGACGCACTTGCCGAATGGAGGTCTCACATCCTTGCACCACGGGTGGTGGTGTGGGGTGGCGGGCCGCCGTGTGAGACCTGGTCTGCCTCTCGAGGGGCAGAAGGCCAAGGCCCCCCGCCACTTCGTACGCATGACCAATTTTGGAGTCAGACGGCAGTTGCCGAACGACAGATGGAATAGCTGTGGGTGGGCAGCGCGTTATACCATGCTATGCTGGAGCTGTTCGCTGCACATATGCAGGCTGGGACGTCAGGTTGGCTTGAGCACCCCCAGCCGTATGAATGGAGGCTCCAAGCTGTCAGCTCGTTTGCCTGTCATCCGATGCGTGCTCTCCAGTCGTCCCCCCAGCAGTTTCGACGACCGATTTTGATCAGTGTGAACATGGTCAGACGTCAAGGGCCCCCACTCGAATCGTTGGGCTTAGGCTGCCAGGGCTGCACGCAGCCCTGCTTGCGACCCCTGGAAACGGCAGATGATCGCACGGTAGGGGCGGTCACGAAACGCTTCTTGGGTATGGTAGGGATAGGAGGGAGTGGCGCACAGCCAAAAAGAAGACGTATCCCGCCGGCCTGTGGTGCAAGTGTATCTCAGCTGCCACCGGTGATGCAGTGCGTACCATGTGGGAAAAGGGGATGTGGACAGTACTGTGCCCGTTGTTCCGGATGAGTTGGGGGAGGACGGTCGTGTAAATGATGGGCTGCTGCGGTTCTTTGTCTCCTGGGATCCTTATTTTGGCACTGACGAGGGATGGGCTCCTGACTTTGTCTCACGGCGCACGCGCCGTTTCCGACACGACCCCGATCTCGATCGCTTTCGACCAGTACACGTCCCCCCGACATCAGAGCAAGTTACCTCTTCCACCTCGCAGGTTCGAGTCGACACGGCGGAGGTTAGACCCGCAGGCCCACCTGAAGCTGACGAGGTGTAGGAGTATGTCGGCGCACGTGCTTTTCTTGGTGACTCGCAGAGGGCAACATATCCTCCCCGCCCGCCCATCCCTGTGCCTTTAGCACCTGAAGTTTTGGAGCGCATTGCGCAAAATCGCGCGCAGGCGCGTGTCAGAAGAGCTGCTAAACTCCAGGAAACGAGACAGGCTCGTTTGCGTCAAGTAGCCCCTTGGGACCTTGATCCTCATTGTGGCAGAGGCTCGGCTTGTTCGGATAGGTTGCTGCCTGTCATTTATCATGATTCGAGCGGACAAGTGGAGGTGCAGAAGAGCAAGTGGTCGTCGTTTTCTGTGACGCCTCTCTCACCCACCTCTCCATATGACTGCTCGCTGTCTGGTGGCAAGCAGTACGGGGGGCTCTACGGCATGGTGACTCAGGACAATGCTGTTGCTGCCTTCGTTGGCCTCAATTGCGTTCTTGGTGCCTCTCTTTTTGTTTGATCTCCAGCTGCCGCCCCAGTTCGATAGGTTTCGGGCGCCGTACCAGGCACGGCGAACCTCTCTCGGGGCGGGCAGCGCGCGTCCGCAGGCCCGCGCCCGCGTATCGGGCACACCGGCCTCCACGCATGGACCGGAGGTGGGAGTGGTATGTGGGCGGGGGCGGGGTTTCTACTGTGGCGTTGGAGCAGGCGCTGGCCGCAGGTAGAGCGTGCGAAGCTCTTGCACTCCCGCTGGCCCCTGCCTCGCCCCGCCCAGCTGCCTTTTCGTCAGCCTTTCTTGCCTCTTAGTGCTTCTCTTTTCGTTCGATCTCTAGCTGCCGCCCCAGGTCGAGAGGTGTCGGGCGCCGTGCCAGGTGCGGCGGACCTCCTTCGGGGCGGTCAGAGACGCGCGCAGGCCCTGCCTGCGCATCGGACAAGCCAGGCAGTTTCACCTTCCCCACTTTCCCTGGGTATAGGTTTGTTGGCGGGGACGTAGTTCGCGCTGTGGCGATGAGGTAGGCATGGGACACAGGTCAAGCGTGCGAGAACCGTGCACTCCCGCTGGCCCCTGCCTCGCACGCGTCCACTCTTAGCTCCCCTTTAAAGCCCTTTTGCAGGCTATCTCACCTGTTCCCCTCTTTCATCAGCCTCCTCTTGCCTTTTCCTTGCTCCTGTTGCGTCGCCTTGAGCGCCTTCCGACGATATGGGGGTGGTG